AAAAAATTCCCAAATTAAAAGCGTACCCGTACAGTATTTGCTGCTCCTCCTGCTCCTCTTGCTCCTCCTGCTCCTGCTGTTGCTCCTGCTCCTCCTGCTGCTCCTGCTGCTCCTGCTGCTGCTGGTGCTGCTGGTGGTGCTGCTCCTGCTGCTGCTGCTCCTTCTCCTGCTGCTCCTGCTGCTGCTGCTGCTGCTGCTGCTCACTTTCGATGGACAGTATTTAGCCAGATTTCTCTGCGAAAAAACGACCTATGAACGACCTCTGAACGACGTTTGCATTTCAGTCAGAATGACCACTACTACTGACTACTTCTACTACTGCTGCTGCTGCTGCTGCCACTGCTACAACAACAACTACTACTACTACTGCTGCTGCTGCTGCTGCTACAACTAGTACTACTACTACTGCTACTACTACTACTACTACTCCTACTCCTTCTCCTACTCCTACTCCTACTCCTACTTCTGCTACTACTACTACTACTACTACTAGTTGCTACCTTTTACCTACTACCTACTACCTACTGCTACAACTACTACTACTCCTCCTCCTACTCCTACCCCTACTCCTTTGTACTCCTACTCCGACGGCTGCTGCTGCTGCTGCTACTGCTGTGTTTTTTGCTTTTGGTACTACTACTGCTACTGCTACTACCATGGTTGCCGCCTTCACCACATATGAAGACCGCCGCTTGTAAATCATACGATTTGCTGTTGGGATCAGGATTTTCGTACCATGTTTTTTCTACCTCAATTGCATAAGAGGAGGCAGCTCAAGACTTGAGACTCCATGCAGGCCTTGTGGCATCTTGCCTGTGCACACCTAGAGCTCCTGGAAGCTGATGATGAGTGTGTGGGTAGAGATGCTGAAGGCGGCCGCACCCTTGAAGCAATCCAGGTACGAGCAGGAAGGAGTGCGGGTCCAGGTGAGTCTGACGATGCCAACGAGACTGGTAACGAGACCCTCGGTACTGTGCAGCTTGGATTTCATGAACGACAGCACTTTGAGTAGTGTATGTGGCTTGTCTTGCACCTTTGTGGTGGGACATGTCACTGTAAATGATGGCAGTCCAATTGTAGGAGCCCTTTTTCAGACTTTCTGGAGCTTTCATGCATGAAACATCCTGGTTTGCACAACCCAGGTACGCAATGTTCACCTATGGCGCGGTTGCAACCAGCAAGTCGCCCCTTGAAGACTTATCCCAACCGAGCCGGAACTTCCGCGGCCTGAGATGCTACACTGAAACCATTTTAGCAGCCACAAGGCAAGCGGACATCGCTGCTATTTTTGAAACCGATTTGTATCATGCGCGAGTCCCTACACTTGCTTTGCACTGGAAGAAGGATTCTGATTATTTTCCTGGTGAGGGTAGGCCAGACCTACCGAAGCATGTGGAGGGCCGTCATGGTGACATTGACCATCATGACATGAGACATTACATCGATAGATTGTCCCACTTGCATTTGAACCACGTCGATGTTTCAAAGAAAGACCCTTTCAATCTCGGCACGCAATTCGCATACATGGCTTGGGGTGCCTACGAAAAGCAGAAGTATTGGGTCTCACACAAGGACGTAACGATGGAGCAGCTGATCAAGAAACATCTTCCCCATTGGAGGCTTGTGGAGCATGTCCAACAAGATACCCTCGAAGCGGTCGATAACCTGTGGTTGGTCCAAAACAGTCAGAGCCTTGACTGTTTGCTAGCGTTCGAGGGGACGCATACATTCGAAGAGTTCTTTCGGAACTTGGAAGGGAGCAACGGGGGCTATTGTGGCTTTTCGGATGTCCACCATGGGTATGCCGACAAGCTGTACTGGCTGATGAAGCTGAGCATGCCGAAGCTGCGGTCCTCCCTCTCCAAGTGCAACAAGGCAGTGGAAACATGTGGAAACATGAAACATCATGAAACTACGAATCGGCGTTTGATACGACTGTTTGTGCAGGTGATGTGCACAGGACACTCTCTTGGAGGGTCCTTGTGCGAAGCCACTGGGATTTTTAGGCGCAGTGTCGATCATTCCACGTTGCCACATGCGAGGAAATCAAACTCAGCCGGCCATTCAGCATACAAAAGTACCGATGACTCCAGCCAAGGTCTTTGCAGCTTGCGCAAACTCAGGGAGAACTTCGGACGAGCACTACCAGGTAGGCAGGCCGTGAATGCACGTAAAGCCTGTGCCGAATGGGGAAGTTTCAAAAGAACTGTCCTCAGACGACACATGACGAGACAACAGATAGAACCAGATAGAAATGATAGATATGCCATTGCCATTCTCAGCTGCTCTCCTTGTGCTGTACAACTATTTGCGAGTACTGCCACTTTAACACTGATTGGCATCTACTGGATTCTACTATACTACTGTTGGTAGCAGCAGTCCTCCTCCTCCTCCTCGTCGTCGTAGCAGCAGCAGCAGCAGCAATAATACAACTACCGCTCCACAAGTGCGGCTGCAATCGCTGACGCTACATTGATACTGGTAACAACATTTCCAGGAAGTGGCAACAAAAGTTACAGAAAACACGACAACACCATCCCCCTTTAACAAAAAGCAACGACACACCGCAATGACAACATCAATAACAAACCGTAGTGGCAACAACAAGCACGTAGTGTCCCGATGGCACGCCATACAATCAGACGAGAATTATGATGAAGTATGCCTTCTGACATGGTACGTGACGGCATCAAGAAAGCAGGTTGGTCGGGTGGGGATTGGCCCGAAACGAGTATGTAATCAAATATTAATATACAGTATACATGTTGTTGGCACTGCCTTGTCTACAATATCCTTAACAGTCATGTGCCTTTCCTAGTCAAGGTTTCGTGTAGTTTTCTTTTGATGCTGCCGTCATCCGTTAATTTTTAAGAGAGCATTGGGTTCTGGCAGTTTGTTTGGTCGGCACCCCCGTGCTTCCCCTGCAGATTCAACAATTCAGCAAACAAACGTCCAAAGCTTAGTTTCTGCCTTTGCTGAGCTGATTTGAGCCCCTCTAGCAATTGTTGTCCCACGGCCTGGTTGAATTGAGGCCCGAGCTGATGGAGCCTATTCACCAAAAGGCTTTCTCCCGAAATGTGCGAGCGTAGCAAGGGTAGCCCATAAGAGGCTATCTCATGTCTTCGCGCGGGAGAAGGTCCACACTTGGCGCTCGCAAACTTGCAAACACTTGCTTTTGTTGCTTGCTGGCTGTCAGACTGTTAGTTTTCATACTAGTTTTCATTTTGTGTTGCATTCCACTCCTCAGCCTGAAACTCACCATGCACATCCATGTGCGCCAAGTGAAGGTAATACTTTCTTTGATCCTGGCACTTGTGCCTAGCATTTCTAGCATTTTGCAGGACGCAGTATTCTTTGACTGCGCCAATGAGGTCTTTGAGGCCTGCAACTCCAGCTGTGTTCAGGGTTAATCCGGTGCAGCGCAGATCCCTTCAAGCCTTGCCAAGGTTGAGGGGGAATCCTTAGCATCACTTGGTTTCGGATCAGAGGACTGAAAGATATCAGGGATGGACCATGACTGCCCATATCAATCCACTGCACAGGACGGCGATGACCGCATGCTTTACACATACAAAGCCAAGGCCTTGCAACGTTTGGTTGGCAACATGCTCTGCCAAGATCATCGAAAGGTCCAAAGAACAGCCTGCTTGATACTTGTTTGCCCAGGCTCTTGCTTGAAGCAGGGAGCCATGAAGGCATTTAGCCATAGAATCTTCATTTGGCTCACTGGAGGCCTGTATCTTGAGGCTTGCTGTGATAGAAGTTTCCAGGACCATGCGGATGGCCAACGAGCCACTAGGATCAGCAGTCACCAGTGCAGGCAAATGAAGCCTGGCTTCAGGCATTTTAAAGCCTCCTTCAGTCAGAGTCTCCTTGGCAGATTGGCGAATCCCTTGACTATAGCCAGACCCATCCAGACCCTATTTTTTTTGTTTGATTGGAAGCTTGAAAACGGCAAAGCTGCGTTACGTTCTATTTACGATTGCATTATGGCTGAAGCTGGCTGCAGCGCCAGGGAGGTCGGTTGAGTTGCCTTCAGCGTTTGCTTGACGTGCTAGCACTCTACAGGATGTACTGTGACCGCTTTCGAACAGACCTATGGAAGTGCTAGGCCCCGAACACAGCTTTGCAGCAGATAGCTCCTGAAAAGCATGCAGCAGGTCATTTATCAACGCCCACACATCAACATACCCACGGCATACTCTGTTGAAATATATAAGCATCGGTAGTCTGGGGCAAGTTTTTCACCTCTTTCAAGCGCTCGGGCCTCAAGTCTCAACTGGGTTTGGGGAGCGACAGGTTCCAGCTGGCCAAGCTTAGGTGACACCTGCAGGCAACCTTTCGGTGGCTTAGGCAAGATGTCTCCAATAAAGCATGATATTAGACATGTGCTTGTATCTATGTAAGCTCCCATGCTTTCATCTCCCATCACAAGGTTTTTTCCTTTGCTCATTGCAGGTGCATGATGACGACTGCATGTTCAGATGCACATGTTACTTGCATTTATTTGTTTTTTTTTTGCAATCGTCCTTTATAGCATCACACAAGCGGTCTAAACCTACACAGGAGTGGATCAGTTGGACGTTCCTAGCCTTTTTTTTCGGGCATGCAGTGATTGCACGGTTGCACGCGGGCTGCTGTGACAGGTGAGGAGTCAAGCTGGCTTGGCTCAACCGCGCCTTGAGCTGCAGGCCATGCTAACAAACATATTTGTAATTTATAACTATATTGTATTTGTGAATCTCACAAGTTGGCTCAACATGTCATGTCTTTTGATGGCCGTATAGGCTGGAACGTTTCAGGTTAGCGTAGGGACGCTATGGACCCCTGAAGCCAGACCTTAGCCGTAGGCAAAAGGGGTGCGGCAGCGGCTTGGAGCAGGAGCTCAAGGTTCCCGCCAGTTCAAACTGGTAGCGGAGCCCCTTCACGGGGCGCCGCATGAGAGAAGAGCATGAGCGAGGAGAAGAAGACAGAGGGTGGTCTGACCAAGCGGTTTGATGGAGATGGATCGAACCCAGCGAAAGACTACGAGAGATGGAGAAGATGGTGCAGAGCACACCTCACCGTTCAGAAGGCGAAAGGAGTTGGCCCCGAGGCCCATGGCTCCTTGGTGTTCTCGCTTTTGGACGGCACTGCACTCAGAGCACTGGACCAGGTATCCATGGACAGGGTGGAAGAGATCGGGGGCGAGGAGGTGATCTTTCAGATCTTGGACGATCGTTTCCCGGCTGAGGCCACTCACGACAGACTGGGAAGTGTGCTCGACCAGGTCTTCGACCTCAAGGTGGAGAAAGGTGAAACCACAGCAGTGTTCACGGGCAAGGTGAGGGCAGCTTTCTCGTCGGCAGAGGCCGAGGGAGTGGTGCTACCCGATGTCGCTCGAGGATACCTGCTGTTGCGATTTGCCAAGTTGAGTGCTGAGCGAAAAGCCGTGGTGATGGCAGCGGCTAGGCAGAGCTATGCTGAAAAGGACGTGGCGGCAGCACTCAGGACGACCTTTCCCGAGGGGCTCTACTCAGCGGCGAGGCAGAGTTCACATGCCTACCAGGTGGAGTACGACCAGGGCCAGGTGGATGACGATGAAGAGACCATGGAGGAAGAGTTTGACGTGTACCTCACCGATGCCGGCTACCAGCCGGAAGAAGAGATTGAAGAGCGAGATGCCATCGATGCCCTCTTGACTTGGAAACAGACGCGCAGCTCAATTGCCCAGACCAAGTTGTCGAGAGGTTTCGGAAATCAAGGGCAGTTGAAGAAGCTGGCCGCTCGGGTCAAGTGTTTCAAGTGTCGACAAGTGGGACATTTCTCTCGAGACTGTCCCAAACGAGGCAAAAAGGAAGGCAAGGGCTCGACCAAGGATGGCAACAACCAGTCGGGAGGTGGCACAAAGGTGAACTATGTCTTCATGGTATGGAGCCAACCGGACACTCCGAACATCCGGACAGAGCACCACCGGACCGTGGATGAGAATGAGGATGGTGAGCTGGAGCAGAACTACAACCCTCCCATTGGCCCGGAACTGTATGGACATGAGATGCAGGCATTGGTCGCGGGCTGGAGTCATGTGCCACGTGACTTTTGGTACACGAGGGGATCAGAAGTGATTCGTGAACATGTCTTGCCAAGGACGAGGTTGTTCACTCCGGCGGCATCCAACTGTCCAGTACCTCTCCAAGAGTTGTGTGACAGCCGATCAACTCATCTGTTCAAGGAAGATGGGTCCCAGGCAGTGCACTTCTCACACAACTGGAAGGCTCGTGGAGAAGCGCACAAGGACATCGGCGTGGAGTGGACCGGCCGGACGGTGTTCTACATGAAGGACCTTCCGTTCACTCCTATCGACGAGGAGATCGACATGTTGGCCCAGGCCTACAAGGACGAGCTGGACATTGCGCAAGATGAGGCTCTTAAGGAGTCAGGCTCGGAGGATTCCATGATGGAAGAGACGGACGAGGAGGCCGAGTACCTAGATGGTGAGACTATCGTGGCCCTTGTACACGCAGCAGGTCACGGAGTGGTGGACACCCGCTGCGGACGAGGACTTGTGGGAGAGAAGACTTTGCAGCGGCATGAGAAGGTGCTGAACGAGCACGGCTACGAGATCAAGGAGATGCTGCATCAGCCCCACAAGTTCCGATACGGGAACAGTGCAGTGGATGTGTCCCATCGGACCGTGCAGATCCCGGTGTTCCTAGCAGGAGTGCAGCTGTGGTTGAGAGTGCATGTGGTGCCAGGAGGTGCGCCTCTCCTGATCTCCAAGCGATTCATGAAGTGCTTGGGCGCGATCATCGACATGCGACAAGGTCAAGTGACTTTCACCAGAGCTCACCTGGCGGTGCCTCTTCTGGAACAAAGAGATGGAAGCTATCAAATCAACCTCCTTGATTTTCAGAAACCGCCAAAGATCAAAGATGCTGAGGTGGAGGTCTTGGCGACTGATCTGGGCGAGGAAGACGAGGAGGAGGGTGACCTCAATGTCGGGGACGATCCCATGGGCACGATTCCGGAGGATGAGATGGAGGAGTATGTGCCGACTAGCCCCGAACCAGAAGGGGATGAAGAGGTTGAGGAGATCGAGACCCCGGAAGAGTATGAGACTGAGACACCCGAGCACAATGAGAATGAAAACCAGGAGACCCAGGACCATGAGGAGCACGATGGGAC